CCTAACCCAACTGCCAAGAGACAACTCTGAGTTTAATAGAACTATGTGAGGCCACGGGGAGAACTGTCAAAGCTCAATGTCCTTATGTGTCCACTCTCCTGGAACAGAGAGAAAGATCTAGCTGCCTCTTGAAGTTTTTCCTCTATTCTTAAGTATCACATTATACACATATCGTATATTAGCTGTATGACATGGGGCAAATTATTTACATTTCTGTGCTGTAAAATGTTATTTTGTCATATAGGAGTAATAATACTAATGTCATAAACACGAAATATATAAATACATATAAATACTTGGCACACCAATGGACACAAGGTAGATGTTTAATCAATTTTAGTTGAATAACAAATTCATTATTTTTTATAGAACCTGAAAATTGTTTCAAAAGTATTTTGATTAATACTTTGAAGGATACCCGTTCTAGTAAATATATTTGGAGTATCAATCTCCAGGGTTCTTAGAAATTTCAAATTCATTAAAAACTCTCCAGGAGGGGAAAATTTTTTAGGTAGAAGAAAAACTGTATGATGAGAAGGAATCCTTATTGCCAAATTCAGACTTGAATTGAAGAAAGTAGGGAAAGCCACTAGACCATTCAGGTATGAACTAAATCAAATCCCTTATGATTATACAGTGGGAGTGACAAATAGATTCAAGGGATTAAATCTGATAGACAGAGTGCCTGAAGAACTATGGATGGAGGTTCATGGGATTGTACAGGAGGCAGGAATCAAAACCATACCCAAGATAAAGAAATGCAAAAAGGAAAAATGGTTGTTTGAGGAAGCCTTACAAATAGCTGAGAAAAGAAGAGACGGAAAAGGCAAGGACGAAAAGGAAAGATATACCCATCTGAATGCAGAGTTCCAAAGAATAGCAATGAAAGATAAGAAACCATTCCTAAGTTAACAATGCAAAGAAACAGAGACAAACAAAATAATAAGCAAGAATAGAGATTTCTTCAATAAAATTAGAGATACCAGGGAAATATTTGAACTGTGGTGTTGGCGAAGATTCTTGAGAGTTCCTTGGACTTCAAGGAGATCCAACCAGTCCATATTAAAGGAGATCAGTTCTGGGTGTTCATTGGAAGGACTGATGCTGGAGCTGAAACTCCAATACTTTGGCCACCTCATGAGAAGAGGTGACTCACTGGAAAAGACCCTGATGCTGGGAAAGGTTGAAGAAGGAGAAGTAGGAGAAGGGGATGACAGAGGATGAGATGACTGGATGGCATCACTGACTCGATGGACATGAGTTTGAGTCAGCTCCGGGAGTTGGTGATGGACAGGGAGGCCTGGCATGCTGCAATTCATGAGGTCGCAGAGTCGGACACAACTGAGTGACTGAACTGAGCTGAGGGGAATATTTGGCCTTGGAGTACAGAATGAAGCAGAGCAGATGCTAATAGAGTTTTACCAAGAGAATGCACTGTTCACAGCAAACACCCTCTTCCAACAACACAAGAGAAGACTCTACACATGGACATCACCAGATGGTCAACACCAAAATCAGATTGATTATATTACTTGCAGCCAAAGATGGAGAAGCTCTATATAGTCAGCAAAAACAAGACCAAGAGCTGACTGTGGCTCAGATCATGAACTCCTTATTGCCAAATTNATCCATCCTAAAGGAAACCAGTCCTGAATATTCACTGGAAGGACTGATGATGAAACTGAAACTCCAATACTTTGGCCACCCAATGTGAAGAACTGACTCATTGGAAAAGATCCTGATGCTGAGAAAGATTGAATGCGGGAGGAGAAGAGGATGACAGAGGATGAGATGGTTGGATGGCATCACGCAATGGACATGAGTTTGAGTCCTGGGTCTCAAGGATTGAACCTGGGTCTCCTGCATTGCAGGCAGATTCTTCACTGTCTGAAGCCACCAAAAATCCCATAAGGCAATCATGTCCACTTCATAAATAAGAAATCTTGAGGTTCAGCTAAGTCAATTGGCTTAACCAAGATTTTCTGACCAAGTAGAGAGAGTGAGTGTATAAATATAGTTCTATAAGACTTGAAGATTATGCATCTTATTTTAACTGACTGCAAAGCCCCTCTTGCAACTAAAATAAGTGAATGCTTGGTGGAAGTAATAACATAGTAAATACTAATTTAGCTTTAACATCAGGTACTGTTCTAAGTACTTAATACATATTGACCTATTTAATCTTTGCCATGTCCTTATATAGTAGGAATTACTATTTTCATTTTGCATATGAGGAAACTAAGGCACTGGGAAGTTAAATAAACTGAGCCAGATTATGAACCAGTAAGTGACGAACCAGCTTATAAACAAAGCAACGTGGCTTTGCATTCTGGGCTTAACAACTAGGTAAAAGAATTGGAACTTCTTGAATTATTAATATTTTAAAGGGTTAACTGAAAAAGTATGCTTTGATTTTCCATAGTAATTTGCCAAGATATGTACCCAAATGTATGTCCTTCTAAACATTAATCAAAATATTTCAAAAAAAAATTCAGAGCCTGAAGCAAATAATAATGATGATAGTAGTAAAAACAACTATTAAAATTAATTTTACATCTATAATGTACTCTGGCACTGTGCCAGATGACTTATATATGTCATCTCATATAACATTTATAATAGTAGTTCTATTATTTCTAGAAAACAGAATAAATTACTGAGGCCCAGAGAATTCCCTGGTGGCTCAGTCAGTAAAGAATCTCCCTACAATGCAGGAGACCTCATTCAATCCCTGGGTTGGGAAGATCCCCTTGAAAAAGAAATGGCAACCCACTCCAGTAGTCTTGCCTGGGAAATCCCATGGACAGAGGAGCCTGGTGGGCTACTGTCCTTGGAGACACAAAGAGTCAGACACAATTGAGTGACTAAACCATCATAGAATTTAACTAATGTTTCTCATGGCACACAATAAATATATGATGTGTCTGGGATAGACTGTTTGCATTCAGAGCCCACATTCTTCATTACCAAACTAGTACTCCATTCTTTCATACTTTTTTGTGGTGGAAAACTTTATCTTCTGAGAACCGACCTGAGTTTTAAAAACCAGCATGAGTCACTTGTGACTAAGTCATTTGTTTGTTGAATTTCAGGGACTTGAGATGAAGAACTGACTTATTGGAAAAGACCCTGAGGCTGGGAAGGATTGAGGGCAGAAGGAGAAGGGGATGAAAGAGGATGAGATGGTTGGATGGCATCACCAACTCAATGGACATGAGTTTGAGTAAGCTCTGGGAGTTGGTGATGGATAGCAAAGCCTAGTGATGGAAGCTGCAGTCCATGGCGTCACAAATGGTCAGACATGACTGAGTGACTGAAGTGAACTGAATTGAGATTAACTTATGCTGAAAAACACCATTTGAAGAAAATAACAGAGTGCTTTTCTCCTGTGATCAATAAATTGTCTGAAATCAGTTTCCTAAACACATTTTGTGCACTGGTGGCAACATGGTAACTACAATCTCCCCGGTGATGACTTTGGAGGAATGCTCTTCTTACAGCAAATGTATGCTCTACACTTGACAGACACTGCATGTTAATGAGGGAAATAATGGCTGGAAGCTTACCATATGCCTCTGGGCTTGTGGCATGTTGCTTACAGGCATCATTCAAGCATCTATGTAGTCACTGGGTATACTGCTCTATAATGATTGTTGACCACTAAACCACTTCATCATCTGCAGCACTTTTCTTACAGGGAGAACTTGCATGGCTTTTAATTAATGCATGGTTCCAGAGGATCCACACTATATGTGATTCAACCCCATACTCTGAATGAAGACTAAGTTGAGTTGGTAACTCTTATGACCTTTTGTGGGAATATGTATTCCTTAAGTGGATGAGGAAGTTACCAAATCTCCATATCCCTTGATTCTGTCTAAGTCAAGACTACCTAACCCTTTCTTTGTTTTCCCAGGTCTTGGTGGACGTTGCACATAGCATTCTCCTTTCCAATATATTGTTCAGAATTAATTTTTTAAGGAAAGAACTGTGAGAATAGCTTGGTCAGCCATTCTTGGTGAAGAAAATACTGCAGTATGAAGGAGGAGTGGATGGGGGAAACCAGAGTGGGGAAAGAAAGAGATAAAAGAGGTGGCTTTATTGCACATTTATAGACTGTAACTGGTGTGAACTGACTTCCCCTGCATTTTGTAATATGCTTCTTTAAGCAAAATTTCCTCTCCAAACTCAGAAAACTCTGTGGCATTCCTGAGAACAGTCACCTCCAACTGCTCTACCCTCAACTAACTAACTGTCTCTCTCAACAGTTAGAAGCAAGCTTGTTGGAAAGTAGTGTTTCTAGAGCTTCCAAAAACACATAGTAGACATTTTTTCTTGGCAAAATCTGTCAGCCATGAGGGAGGAGTCCATGATGAAAGTTAAAATTTAGATGTGACAACTCTTAAAAGTAAAATTTGTGCATTTCCAAATGCCTCTTTTTTTAAAAAAAAAAATGCTTTTCATATGGAGCTGTTCTATTGAGAACATTATTGAATGCAGCTGCTTGAAGAAAAAGCACTTCATTTGGATGGCAAGATCTCTGCTAGAACAGGGAAGGAAATAGTATGGGATGATCATTTCTACCTTAAATTGAGAGAAATGCTAATTACCAATAGAATGAAATGGAGACCTAAGGGTAAGATTTTTTTTTTTTTTTACCAAAGGACTTAGAAAAACATGTCTCAATTGATGAGAGCCAGAAAATAAAATAACAAACAGTGAATACTGATAGAAAGCTACTTGGTATTATTATTAAAAACAATAGTCACTAGGTCTGATCTCATAATTATTATTCTAAAAATCCTGAAAGGAAGGTCTTCTTTCCCCCATTAAATAGAGGAAGAGCAAAGAGGCAGAGCAGAAACATAATTAGAGCTGGTCACCCAGCAAGGAACTGGCAAAGTTAAGATTTAGCCCAAAGACTAAATTTCCAGCTCTTCACCACTCCTCTGAAGGCCTTGAAAGAGAATTTGGGAAGTGAATTACAGTGTTCTGATTACCATGGCTTTGTTGGAATGGCCTCCTCCTTGGAACTCAATGGTCCCAAAAGCGTCGGTGGGGCTGAGTTGAGTGTGCTTGCTGATGGACCACTTCTCAGACTGGGTGTCGTTTCGAGAGAGGCGACTTTCATTTTTCTCATTCTGAAGAACCGAGATACTGGGAGTGAGGCCAACATGCTGGCCTATTAGACGCCCACAGCAACACCTATAATGTAAGAGGTCAAAGTGAACCCCTTGTATTAGTGACAACTGGAATACACACTTAAGGCAATCTGCTGGAGAAACCTACAAACTGTAGCAAGCCAGCAAGTCAGTTTTCAGGTGGAAACCATATGTGGCATACCTGATAAATGGTGAACTCAGGATTTACTTGACAAATTAATACACTTCTTCTCTGGCCCTTCCTCTTTTTGCTCTAGCTGTAATATGCCTCCCATCTTTCTGAACCCACCCCCTTTCACACCAGCCATATTGTTCAGGACTGGAACCTAAGAATGAAAGCCCTGTAGATTTTTCTACTTCTTACTCCTCCCATCTATTAAATCTTGTGCAAAGGCCACTGAACAGCTTTAAGGGGAGAATTTTAACAGGCACATTTAAATAAGGACTCTCAATCATATGTAAGAACCTAACTTGTCTTTTCCCAATTGACACTCACTGTCAAATATCCAATTCTGAGAATAAAAATTTGCAACTTAAGTTTTCTTGAAGAAACAAGAAAAAATTATTCACAAGATATCTGAAAATAAAATTTGTTCCTTACATCGTTGAAAACGTTGCTCATACTTTACTACTAGGACTACTATGACTATTAGCAATAATACTGATATGTTGTTACCATTTATTAAATACTAACAGTGTGACATTCATTGTATGGGTACAATATTATAGTTTTAAAGGCATTCAAGGTTGTACAGCTGGTTTATATGATCCCAGAGTCTATATTTTAAACTACTTCATTACATTGTCTTTTTGTAAAGGCACTTCCAGATATTCATATATTACTTTATCCCAAATACTTCACACTTTCTATACTTCTGATCATCAGGAAGTAAGTAGAATTTTAAAAATGTTCTTGAATAGAAATCTGAAGGTCTGCAGTCTTATCAGTAATCTGCTAGGAGTATCTCATTTAAAAGTCTCTTTTTCGCTGTAGCTGAGCATGTTGGTAAAAACCAACCATTTTTGATGAAATGCTGGAAAGGGAAACCACATTAAATATATATTTATACATATACATGTGTATATATAAATATAAAATCCATTCTTGCAGACAATGATGAATTCCCTTCCTGAGGATGTACCTGTTATTTTGTACATGCTCCCAGAGAATTAACTACAGGCATGGCCTATTACATGGTGTGTATATATAAGATTGTTTCAAAGATATTCAGTAACAATGAAAAGTGGTCCTTAATCTCACATCAGTTCTGTTGCAATGGATAGTGACTACTATCATAGTTTTGTTTCCGTAACTGCTACTTCAAGTTCTTGCTACATTACAAAGACAGCAAACTTACCTATGGGGGTCTTTGGTGCTGGGGATGATGTGAACACATTCTCTTTTATAAAAGGCTCTTTCTATCCAAGACTTCTGAGCCTGAAAAAAAGGAAAAGGAAAGGGGAACACAGCCTTTAAGTATTTTTGACTAGAATGCAAAATTCCATAAACACTTAACAGACTAATATCTCATAAACTGAATTGAAATTGTTGTTACTTCACACATAAATGCTGTATATAACAAAATCCCTTACTATCAGAAACTGCTGATTAGATTTTTTAATGTCATAATATGAGAGTCAAAGGAAAATGACCATATTAAAAAATGCTAGTAATGGAACTATATACAAGTTCATAATGACTTCTGAAGAACAGAAAAATAATGCTACTTACAGAGAAAATGAAAGCTATACAGCAGTATGTTCATAACCCTTTAGATAACAAGTATTAGTATGAGGAAGAAATATACCTAGATAAGCATAAAGTTTTAATGGCTGACACTTCCATTAGATTTTATTTATAGAAAGAAAGAAAAATGGTGAGGAAATTACATTTAATTTGAGCTCTAATCCATCACCATGCTTTTACTAAAATCCAAATTATCAATGCTTGAATATGGAAGCGGAAAAAGGAGATGGAAACATAAGTAAGATAAATGTCTTCATCACAGTCCAAAATTTCACAGGTAATGCCTTTGGAAGGAAAGTAGATGCCACATTTCTTGGCATCCCACATGCCTTTCAGCACACGAAACACAGCTTCTTAGAACGAACATTGTTGGGACTGTCTACACAGCAGCCTGGCCACTGAGATTAGGTTCCCAGAAGGATAAAGCAAGTTCCAACAAACTGTACCATCTTTGTTCCAAAACAGTTTCCATTCTTCATCCTTTAACCCCTTTCTTTACCAGCATTTGAAACAGTATAGGAGTCTCCTATGTAATCCAGTAAACTACTCAGAAGATTCCTTCTCTAAGCAAGTGGTTGAGATAGAAGTTTGGTAGAGTAACATGTAATGTTATTTCCACATGGTGTCATCTTCTATCTAACCCAGGATCAGAACAAAATTCCTACTTTTAAAATATACAGAGAGTTTGGGATTGACATAGACACACTACTATTAATATATTTAAAATGGATCACAGACAAGGACCTACTTTCCTGTGTAGAGCATAGGAAACTCTGCTCAATATTCTGTAACAACCTAACTGGGAAAAACATTAGACAAAAGAATAGATACATATATATGTATAACTGAATCAATTTGTTGTATACCTGAAATAAACACAACATTGTTAATTAACTGTAAAGTAAAGTGAAAGTTGTTCAGTTGTGCCTGACTCTTTGGACCCCATGGACTATAAGTCGCTGGAATTCTCCAGGCCTGGGTATTGGAGTGGGTAGCCTTAGCCTTCTCCAGGGGATCCTCCCAACCTAGGGATCGAACCCAGGTCTTCTGCATTGCAGGCGGATTCTTAACCAGCTGAAACACCAGGGCAGCCCAAGAATATGGGAGTGGGCAGCCTATCCTTCTCCAGGGCATCTTCCTGACCCAGGAATTGAACAGGGGTCTCCTGCATTGCAGGCGAATTCTTTTATCCGCTGAGCTCAGAGGGAAGCCCTAATTAACTATATTCCAATATAAAGGAAAAAGTTAAAAAAAATACATACAGGGCCAAAGTGCAAACATGCTGTTTACTTGGCCTGTCTCAGTGACCAATGCTGACTGTTTCAAGTCCCTGTTTTGTTGGCTATAACTGATACTAACTCTTCTAAGGACCCAAATGGCTGTAAAGGTTGTGCTAAGGTCTTGGTCCTCAGCCCCTTAATACTGCATCTCAGTCCTCTTTCACAGTGGAGTCTATGTGAGCACGTGGCACTGAAGGCAGTAGTTGTCTTAGATGCATAACAAAGCACATTTTGAAAGTAGCGACACAGGGGACGCTTGAGGGGTACAAAGGACCAGCACCCTGCTCCAGTCATGGTTACAATCAGGCCGCGCAATTTCTGAGTGCTTATGCATCGTCCGAATGTAAAGGAGCAGCCACTCTGCCGCAGAGATCCTGGGTCTAGGTGGCCCCCTGCACTGTCATACCACAAAGGTAACATCTGAAGTTCTGTTTGTCATTTCGGCATGGAGAAAGCTTCAGTGTCTAGTCTCAAAGTTGTTCTTCTCAAAAACGTAGGAAAAACTAGTGGCTACATCTTTGCAGCAGAAATAAGCTTAGCAGCATAGATAACCAGTTTTTATCTTCGTAAAAAAGCCTGTAAGTTAAACTATTCATAGGCTGTGATTTTTTTTCCTAGAAACTGAATACTTTCTTTGATAATATCTCTTGGCAGATAGATGGTAAAAATATTCCTCTCTTGACATCTGAAACCAACTTTCACTACACCTTGGGGAGCGGAAAAGGGAGAGCATACTTTCACTTTTTGGGGCCCACTTTGGCTGGCATTCAGAAGGATCTTTTGGAAAGCATCTGGGAATTTCAGGGGGTGCTGATCAATACTCTTTGAGAGAAAGTAGGAATGGCAGTATGATGGGTAGAGAATGATGTCTGCAGTTAGAAAAGTGGTATGAATGAGACTCTGCAGCTTCAACAAAGTCATATAATTTCTTTGATCCTCAGTTTTCCTCATCTATAAAAATGGGCACAACCATAATGCCTGAAACACAGAGTTGTTATCATTATTTAGGTAGCAAGTTTTCACTTAAAGAAGAGGAATCAGTCTTAACGTTGGTCTCGTACTAAAAGTTCAGATAAAGGTTTAAATGAGAAACACTATTAAACTGCCATAGCAGATCTGACCTAAATTGACTTTATGTTACACTGGAGATGATATGCTCCCAGAAGGCCTGACTGTCTACAGACAAGGTATCTAGAAATTTATTTAACTTCTCTGGGCTTTTTCTTATAACATGAGGATAATCATAGCTACTTTGGAAAACTGTATTAATCAAAGTAGATGATTCAGGGTAAGCATCTGGCACTTAGTAGGTAATAACAATGCCTAACTTTTATTTGGGATTTAGCATGTGCCTGGAATTGTGCCTTATATGTATTATCTCCATGGAGCCTTATAAGAACCCCATGGGGGAATTACTACTATTATGTCGTGTCTGTGTGAAATGTAGCAAATTGGAAGATAGACTTTGAACTTGAGCTGTCTGACTCCAGAGTTCATACTCTTACTGACTCTGCTCAACTGTCTCTCCAAATTAGACGGTATTGGTACTAAAATACCCTAGATCTGGGCAGACCTGGGAGTGCCCTTGTAGAGGCATGTCTGAGAACCAGTTCACACTTGCACCTTTCCCCTCCTTATTTCATCCTTTCAGTTCCCACAAGTGAGGTAATCAGCACTCTACTCTCTGTTCCTCTCTCCCGGAGGTCAAGGATTGAGGTGGGACACAAGGCAGACATAAGAATGTAAGAAAAGTCAAAGAAAGAAGTATCATTATAATGGCTACAACAATGAAATGTAATCACACAGGCCTCCCAACTTGAGAATTTCAAGGGCACCTCCGTTATTTCTCTCACTTACAGATCCTGGTTTCAACATGGAAGGCCCTAGAAGCTTTACTCAGATGGTGTGTAGTAAGACTGACTGCATATGGATTGCTAACTTGTTTGTTGGTCTTTAAGTAATTTGACTTGCTTGTGGTTTAGCAACTTAATTACCTTCCCAAAGGTGAAAAGTTACCTCATTGTCAGTGAAGGGATTAAGGATCAGTTTCTACTTCTTATTATTAGCAAACTAACAATTTCTCTTACAAAGGCATAGAAAATTAGGAGGGGGGAAAGGACATGTAAAAAAAGTTTTTCCATCATTCATAATTGAGTTGGATTCTTCTTTTGAGAAAGCATAATATATAACAGAAAGAGCACATGTATAGCACACAAATTAGGAATTCTACCAAACATCATGTACAATTTACTATGCTTTGGAGTGGGCTTAACTGTGCTTTTATTCAGACTTCAGTATAGATGGATATTAGATTTTTTAAATCATTTCCCTGGCATATTTGGTGTATAACCATGATTTAACTTGTCCTCTAAACTAATTCCCTTTTCTTTTGTTCAAAGGCTTTGAACTACTCTCTGTGAAGTTTTATACTTGGCTGCAACATCCAACTAAGTTGGGTTAGAATGGCTATCCTTGATGTTAGAAAGCATAAAACAGTTTTGACATGCCATGTTTCTAGTTGACCCTAATTCTCTTCTAATGCAAAACTTCAACAGTGTGCCCGAAAATCTTTTCTTTTAAAATAGGCTTTGGAGGACTCATGTACTCTTAGAAAAGGTGGCTGCTACCAGCCCTTAGAAAATCACATTTCTAAAGGTAGGACGGTCACATCACCATGGCTGAGTTTGTGAAGGGCTATTTTCTTTCTTGTCTTTCTGTATGATCAGTCATGTGTGATGTATAATAAGGAAATGTTTTTCAAAGGCTAATAATTAAAAGACATTTTTTTCAAAACAAAAATAAGGATATTCACATTTCGAACAAAGTATGTTACCCTCAAAGAATAAAGTACATATGAAATTTGAAAGTCAACTGTACAATCAATAAAGCATCAAAATAATAGGTAGCAAAAAAAGAAAAAAATTGAAGTTGTTTCATTTAACCAAGTTTCCACTATTTTTCCCAAAGACTCTGCTATAAACGTTAGTCTCTCAAACCTCCATGATTCTTCTTACCACCTACTCCCCACTCCCCACTGGAGAGTTAAGACCTTCTCCAGCCAGGAAAAATAACTAAATCTGCCTCCAGAAAGCCTCCGAAACTGCTACTGCAATCCTCCCATTGGTAGAGCAACTTCACAGAAGGACACCAACCCAGACCAGTAATCGCACATTAGAAAAGAAAAAGAAAAAAAAAGAGTTCACTAACTTCTTAGGAACAAATTATGAGCAAAATTTTACTATGTTCCTCATTTTGAGACTCTCAGGTTTAAAATTTACACTCTGCCCTAATCAGAACAAAATACCAAAGACTCCAAGGTACTGAATGCCTGTGTTCATTTTTACCTTTTGCTTTTCCTCAACATCTCCCTGGCATTCCCTGGGTCTTCCTCTAGATGCCCAGATCCAATACCGGAAAGTTGAACAAGAAGAAAATGAGCTGAAATAATTTTACCTGAGCACTGACTCTGAGTGGTGGCAAAGGCAGTCCCACGAGCAGCTCCTGTTGCTTTCATTTTGCTGCATCTGGGGTTGGTCATCCCGTTAATAATGCTCTTATGACCGCCCACCGGAAAAAAAGTCACTTGCCGGGCTCTTCCCCCAAGAGACGTTTCAAGTAAGCAATGAACTTGGGCAGATTAGTCCCTTGGAATGTGCTGCTTTGGGATTAGCCTCACTAAGAATCCCATGGACATTCCCTTGCAGCCCTCAAACACTGCTTGATTTGAACATCTAATCTGACGCCAGAAGAAAAACAAATCCCCGGAGAGATCGGATTTAACTGGCACAAGTCCTGACAGGCTCTCCCCCCTTTCCTTTTTCCATTTTCAGAAAGAAGCCTTGTGAAAGTGTGATAAGGTGTTCTGAGTTCTGAAAAGTTCAACTTTGGAAAGCAAATCCTTCTACAGAAACAGTATATTAATGCTCCAAGTGGTTTGGACACACAAGCAGCATTGTTCATTCCTCCCCAAAGGATGGAACGATAGCATTTCTTTAAAGAGGAACTGCTAAAAACTCTGAATGTTTCAAAAGAATAGCTGAGTCCCTGAATGTGTGCCCAAGGAGAATAAAGTTGGGGTTTATCAGTGATGTTCCACAACTTCTGAAATGTCAATAAATAATAATAATAAAACGGATCACACGTCTTATCCTGCAGCCCCTCCCCACAACTGTAACTGTGTGACTAGAAACCTACACTCCCCCGTTTCCCTATTAAAAAAAGATGAGCTGGGACTGTCACAGCACATGGATGCAGGCTGCAAGCATCTGCTTTGTGACGTGCTTATCTGGGGGTGGGTGGGGTGGGGGTGAAGGCAACTTAGAAGTTCTTGCTCACACAACACAAAAGAACTCTTTCAAATATCTTCCAAGAGTAAGTTTTTTTTAGATAACAGTATTTCGTAGCTAGATAAGTGAACAAACAAGGGAAGAAGACAGTTCAACATTCAACAAGACAAAAATAGTTTTTAAAAAGTATGTGAACACTTCATCTCCAAAGGACTTATCTCTTCTTGCAGATGGAATTCAGAGCTGAGAGGTGTGTTTGTTATCAACTCTGTGGGCTGCGTACCTGTGAGGACAGTGGCACTTTGAGCTTCATTTTCCCACAGTCTCCTGTCAAAGTGCCTGCTCTGTGTTACGGGGGCTCTCCCTGGGAATCACAGTGTGAACTGGGTAACTTATTTCTATCTCTGATCAGGATCAGGTCCACAGCCTTCTCCCTGCCTTTCTGCAGTTTCCAGGATGGATCTTTCAAACTCCCCCATCTTCTGGTTTCTCACTTACCAAGGTTTCCCTGGAGACAGCAGGTAACAAATTACTAAGTAACTTTCAACTGAGGAAATATTACAATAAGCAAAAGGCAAATGAATCATCAGGCTGAACGTTAGCATTAAACACAAGATGGAGAAGTCCCTTTGACAGTCTTCAGGAGTTATCTCCAGAATATGTAGTGATGACCTTAATAATATGCATGCCCTTACTTCTATGCAGCTGTAACACTCCTATGCCTTTATTCTTAGGGAATCAACAGGGACGTGAGCACACAAAGGTGTTCACGGCAACATTTTTTATAATACAGACAAATTGGAAACAAAAGTCCCTCAATGGGAGGCTAATTACACTATAGTTCATGCTGTTTGATGATCACAGGTTTCAGAAGACTACGTAATCACATAGAGAAATATACATTTTTACATTGTTAGCTGAGAAAAGCAGGAAAAAATTATAAGTAGAGAATGATTACAAATTTTAATTAGATACAGAGATGGGAAGAGACTAAAGGGAAAACTAGTTAATTATTATTTTTTTGTTTTGCTTTTTTATACTTTCCAAAGTTTTCTTCTGTAACTACATACTTATAGCCATTAAACTATATTCTTTGTGGCCAGAAGACTTCCAGATTTTTTTTCCAACTGTTCAGCACGACCTTATGATAATGGGGCAGAGACAGAGGGGGAGGGAGGGAGGAGCAGGGAAGGGAACAGAGAGGAGAAGGAGAAGGAAGAAGAGGGGGAGGGTTGGCTGGCAGGCAAGTATCTGAGAGACACTGACCTAGTAGTTGTAGATTACGAGACTAAAATTGGTTACAGATAATCCTATGTCAGAAATATTTGAAAAATTCAGCTTTCTTATCTTGCTTTTTCACTAGATACTACTTCAATTCTTCATCTGACTTGAGTTCAGTCAGATCCACACTGAATCTTGTAAATATTACCCATGTATTTTTTAGCCCTATTTTTTCTAGTCTTACTTATTTTTTGTTGTTGTTTTCTTTTTGCTTATTTTTCCTTCCTAGAGAGAAATATGTGATAGGGACAAGAATATGAGGCACCTTCCATGAACTTCCCACCAAAGACAAAAATACTGTCACCAGAACCACGAGCATTCTAAGTGAACAAGGAAGCCCCAGGTAAACTCAGCACAGCGTTGCCTTCCTATAGGGTTACGGATGATCTTCAGGACCCTTTGATTTGAGAAGGTAATTAGTTCCAAAGAGATTTTAGCTCTGGGCCACACTGTCCATGAGGATCTTTTAAAAATCCTATTCATTACCCAACAATGCAACTCCAACTCCTGACAGGATACATCACCAGCCTCTTTCGGATATAGTTTAGAGAGAATATAATTTGAATACTAACAAGAGGAAACCATAAGTGTAATGCAAACTGTGGTTATTCTTCACTCCTATCTTTATGTAATGACAGATTACCTTATTCTCCCATTTCATTATTAAATAAAAAGATCACACTTGAATATACTAAAAAGTTTCCCCTGGTACATAACTCAAGTTGAAAAAATGAAATCAGATTTTCTACAAGTATAAACTAGATTTTGACAGGGATGATTTGTATTTCATTTTTATAAAGATGCCCAAAGCACTCCATTCTGTGATGTCTACACTTACCAACAACGACAACAAGAAGAGCATGATATGGAGGAGGGCTCAGTAAACATTTTCTGTAAAGTGCCAGATGGTAAATAATTCAGATTCTCTGTGGGTCACACGGTCTTCGTCACAACACTCAACTCTGCTGCTGCGGCACAAAAGCACTGGTAGGTCATGAACGTGGCGACATTCCAATAAAACAAGCAGTGGGCTGGAACGGGTGTGTGCTAATCAGTCCGTGCAAATAGAGAAACGGGTCGCCTGATGGGGCAGCCGGGGAGGGGGTGGTGGGCCTCAGAACCCAGCTTCCGTGGTAGCAGCGCTAGCTTTTCTAGGCTCTTCCTCAGGATGTCAGGCAAGTTCTCGGGTGCCTCTACTGTTTTCCCTTCTACCTGGACATCTGCATCCTCAGTTCACTGACAACTTGCTTCATCAGTACACTAGGACCACCCGAGCCATCCTTCTCGACTCTTGCTTCTCTACTCCAACTTCCCTTTCTTTTCCTCAGCTCTTCACACTACCTAGTCGTTATGCATTTATTCTCTATGTCCTCCACTAGAATGTAAGTTCCTGAGGGTAGTGCTTTTCTTTTGTTAGTGCTGTCACTCCAACACCAAGAACTGTTTGGGATGTCGTCAGCACCCACAGGTGACATAGGGACAACATTTGATTGACTTGTACATCAATTCCTCACCTGTAAGATGATGACATCAGATGGACTGAACTCATGTTTCCTAAAGGTGGTACCCAGATGCATTTTTCTTTTAAGAGTTGGATTTTTAATAATATATAATATTTAAGCAATGGCTAAAACTGTAATTTAACAAATATTATTGTTTGGAGACATCATATGTTTTCTCTTACGGAGTTAAGAAAAATGAATCCATTAAAATAGTTAATAAATTAGATTAAAAATGACTTGAAGATAAAGAACTATGATGGTATCACATAAGCAAGGGAAGTTTGGGAAACACAAGAGCAATTTCTCTTAAATATTCCTTGTTTTTATCTAATGTATGTAAATAAATGTATTGTATTCTCTAATATTCAGAGTTGCCATTGACCTATAAAGTAAAACAGTGCCAGGGAAACATGACAAAGCCAACTGTCTCTGAAGCATAATATCATCAACATGGTTTTCCTAAAACAATCAATCAGGACATCCCTTGGTCAATACTCTTCTTTGGTTTCCATCCTCGGCAAGATGAGACCAATTCATGAGACAAGTGCTCGGGGCTGGTGCACTGGGAAGACCCAGAGGGATGGGATGGGGAGGGAGGCAGGAGGGGGGATCAGGATGGGGAACACATGTAAATCCAAGGCTGATTCATGTCAATGTATGGCAAAACCCACTACAATACTGTCAAGTAATTAACCTCCAACTAATAAAAATAAATGAAAAAAAAAAAGTTCAGGATCTGCCTCTGAAACTATCTATTCAAATCACTCCATCTCCCTCCAATCTTTAAACACATTATGTTCCAGTACACTAGATTATTGATTGTTTCCGTAATGCAGCATGCTGTGCCAAGCTCCTCAACCTTTGAATATGCTGGCCCATTCACCTGGAAGGCTAGGTTCCTGCTTCTATGTTGAGCAAACACCTGTTTATTCTCCCAAACTCTGCACAAAACATTGTATTCTTTGACAGGCTTGGCTGACAACTGCCAGACAGGATGAATTACCACAACTACTGATCCACTTTCATACCTTGCTCACACTTCCATTAGGAGAAAAGTCATATAATTTAAAAATTATTTGTTTTCATGTCAAAATTTATAATCCCCCACTGCCTATTTCTGCTACAAACACACAGTATTCTGAGTCTATCATGGCATAAGTGGAGTTCTGAAGCCTTGTCCAGGACACTACCCTTCTTCTTCCTCCTATTTTTAACATTGTTTCTGCGGAAATATCAATTTCTCATTCCTAACTAGTCAGAGTTGGGGAATAATTATTTGTGAAGCTATTTACACTAAATTATTTTAATTATTATAATTAGCATATAAATTATTAAATTATTTGTACTAAAATTCACTTTATAGCTTCTAAACTTAAATCATATACACTATAACATAAAGTTAAATTAGATTATATTTTTATCACTAGTCAGGCAAAAAATTCAATAAATCATGCTTTACAATTATAACTGAAACTCATCTTTTGTCAGTAGGTCCTACTGCAAAAATTATACCTAAATACATGCAGAATTTTACATAGATTTAGTATGAATATATATGAATGTTAACCTCACAGAATTTTTGTAAACAAAAATATATATCGCATTTCTTTGAAAAATTGTTTCATTATAAATCAGTAAATTATTGCATGGCAGTAATATATTACAGCTATAAAGTATTTTACTGTTCACAAATGCTTCCTCACATAGTATTTTATGCAATATTCACAATAACTCTGTAAGGTAGGTACATAAAATTCCATTATACGAATTAAAAACTGGGGCCTACAGAGGTTTAGTCTCTCACTAAGTTGTACATCAGCTATTGGCTCAGCCTAATGGAGCCAAAGTCCTTGTGCTTCTATAGGATACAGAGGGCACAGGGGACCCTGCGTCTTGTATATTCCAGGACTAATTTTAGGGACACTGAGTCATTTTTTCCTTCTTTGTGGTGGGATAACTGCATTTCAATTATTCTTATCTTAATAAAAAAAATGTATATATATATACATTTATATATGTACATTTATATATACATTTATATATACATATATATACATTTATATACATACATTTATATATATACATATATATGTGTGTGTATATATATACATTTATATATATATACACACACACACACACACACTTTATCAAGCCTAAAAGCCTGCTGGAAAGATTGAAATGAGGATATAGACTTCTATTTCAAAAGTATCCTATTTATGATCAAGGATTAGACATCTGCTTGAATATAATAGCTGTTTCCATACATGGTGACATAAAAAGTTAAAAGTTCCACACATATTTTTAGCAGCTTTACTGCCTTCATTGACCAAAAAGCATAACTACAGCAGAGTCAGCCATATAAAACTGGTCTAGGCTGCAAGTGTGGGAAATACAACTTTGCTTTCTGTCAAGTAAATGCAGAGCTAGGGTGATACAATGTCATCCTTTAAGTCCTTAATTCTATTTAGCTTTCACAATTCATTCCAGCACCATTCTTATTTTGTCAGAAGCCAAAGAAATGTGCTGAATCACGAAATTGTTACATTTTGTTATGTAGAAACATGGAGTTTATGTGACAAATAATATCATAGATTCAGAGGCTGATTTTTATTTTGCTTGTGTCTTTTGCTCTGGGAGGATGAAGATGTTAAGAAGAAAGTGACAATGGATAAGTAGCTGTACTTCTATTTGTAGTAGAGTTCTCATATAAGGATTAACTCCTTAGGAAGTCAGTCTCTCTTTCTCTTCTTTTTATTATTTTTAGTTTATCATCAGTCCTAATTAAAGTATTTTGGGTAAAGAAACAGATTCGTCTTTATCAATGAGTGATTAAGTTCAGTTCACACTCTTTATCCTCACGAGGTATAGACAAATTTGGCTGTGGGATTTTATTTCTGAAATTCTGATGTTCTTTATCCATTCAAAGGCAGAGCCTAGTGGAAGCATGGCTGATTAAGAGTCCCGAGACAGGCATCCTAGCCACGTCTTGCTGAGTCGTTTAAACTTCAGGAGGACTTACTCTTGGCGATCTTCTAGGTCAAACTCTGTTTTCAGAGCTAAGGATCATGGGAACCAGAACCTGAGAGCACTGTCATTGGCTCCTCATTAATGTGTACAAGATAGGTGTAGAGGTTACTTTTCTTAAATAAGAGAGTATTTTGTTTTAATTTTTACAAATTCATGAAACCACTATTCTTTTTATAACAAACAAAAACGTAGCAGAGCATAGTTTTGTGCTTACTGAGCACAAATCACATAAGGAGATTTGAATTAATAAATAATCCCTGAAAGAATTCTCCCCAGACTCCAACCATTCTTAAGAATGCCTCTGGTTTAGCAATCTGGCACAAGTGTCAAGTCCTAATTCTTTTTCAATAAGACTTCAAGTATTATTAAGACATTCACACAATTAATTAATAACTTGACATTTCTAGTTCTGCCATTGAGAGAGTTTTCAAGATCAGAACTTTGTGTTCTCTTGCCCTCATTCCCAACCAAACAATAAATCAAATTCTGATCATCATTCCCATCAGAATATGCAGTCTGCCCACAATTTGTAATTTTTTTAACCTAACAATCAAGAATTACTTAACTGGAGAAACTGAGGCCAAATCAAGACCATTTTTATCATCAAAAGTGAGTTATAAGCAGATTGGTCTAGCAATGCAACTGCAAAGCTATTCCTATTACTCTCTGGAAATGAAAAATTATTAGATATTTGTGCTTAGTCACTTCAGTTGTGTCCGACTCTCTGCGATCCCATGGACCATGGCCCACCAGGCTCCTCTGTCCATGGAATTCTCCAATCATCTTTCTCTGTCAAATTACTAGATTCTCAAGCAGAAAATAAAGCCATCCCATAAATTCAGCCTCTGGTTATGTTGTACTAATGTGATAGTTTAAAGTTTTCAAGGTTATTAGCATCTATATATTGGCAATGCATTCCCTTACACACTCCCTACCAAATCCTGTATCTTTTGACTTATTCCTACCTTAGCATGTTAATATAAAATTTCTCTGAAAGACTTTAGGTCTTGGAAGATATTAACACATTTATTAGCTTTCTCTAAATATATTTAAACTTGATGCACATAGAAATGAACAAAAATTCAAAAGTAGGTGTAAAAAATATTAATAGGTAGTGCAGAAATACAGATTGAGTCTCTAAATTGTATTCCATTGGATAGCATTGTGATTTTTTTTCTCCTATTTTCTTAGCATCTCATCCTCACTCTGATGTAGAGAGTTCATTCTTTGGATATCTGATGCCAAAATGAATTTCCGAATGCAAAACACTTCTGAAAGAAGCTATGCTAATGAAGCTATTTTTAAAAATAGACTGTGCGGGCTTTCTAATTGGTCCCCTTAATTCATTTTGCACCCAGCAAAAACAGTGATCATTTTTTCCTCTTAATTAATAGACTTTATTCCTTAGAGAAGTTTTAGGTTTAAAAAAAAAACTGACCAGAAGTACAGAGAGTTCTC